TACACAGGAAAGTCCCATTCCTACGAGAAAATATTAGGTTGGTGCAAAAATAATGACGTAATAATGTCGTTTTTTGACGTATTTTTTAACGTCAAAAAACGACATTCTTACGTCATTATTTTTGCACCAACCTAATAGCTAATCTGATAAATTCTCATGGCTAAGATAATATTCAGCTAAAAATATCGATTTTGGATTGTACACTACGTATAATGTCCAGATTTTCTTCTCTGATGATAAGTTTTTGTTCAACGAAAAAGATCAAATGAATTTGTAAGGTATTCTTCGATTCATGCCTTTTTCCAAAGTCATTAACGCTGATGTGATATAAACAGTGATCGAATTTTCTCATTTCGCTATTTTCGTTTTGCCAAATGATAACGGCAACACATCCCTGATATAAATAAATAAAACAGACATAAAAATGGCAATACAATGTTATTAAATTAATATATCTATATATTCCTCAGTGAATAAATATTACCTTGATGTCTATGAGGTCAGATTCTGTCTCAAAATTCCAGAGCCATTTTAAATACGAGATGTGCGTAAACTTTCAACCCTGCTTGAAATACATTAACTATCTGGTATTTTTCAAGACCCGATCGAAACCCCAGGCCCTGGGAACAAAGTATAGGGCGTGACCTAAACTTAATTCCTATCAAAAGGAGCTTCGACTTACGCCAAATTCGATTCTTATTCTGCTTGAATGCGTTTGTGCTCTTGGCAAATTGTGCAGAAATCTGGCAATGTCTGAGTCTTATTGATTTTTCAGGAATCTTTCTCCCTTAAAGAAATATAAAGCCACGTGTGATTAACCTGAACTCCGTTGAATCAATGCGTTTTCGTCGAACAAGGAAGCCATAAATCCTACCAAGGCAAATACAAGCATTTCATTGGTATTTTCAACCGTAAAATATCTGGTATAACTTCTTTGGGATAACGACTCCGAATAAAAAATTGAGTTCGAATTCCAGTCGAGTTCGTTAGATTTACTTACGCGCAAATAGCCTTAGGAAATGTAGTAATCTCTACGGGCTAAATCGTAGGACTTGCATCTGGAAAAATCATTGTGATCTACCAAAAAAAAAAAAAAAATTCTCCCTCAACTATGGGTTAAATAATAGGACTTGCATCAGGAAAAAAAAATTTTATCTCCGAAAAATACATTTGAAACCATCTCTTCTCCCCCAGCTAGGATTAAATATTAGAAGGTGTATTTGGAAAACTCATTGCTATCTCCGAAAAATAGATTTGGGATCACTTTTCTACCCCCCCCCACCTATGAATTTAAACAGTAGGACTTTTATCTAGAAAAATCATTTCTATCTCCAAAAAATATATTTCGGATCCATCGCTTCGCCCCACCTGTGGATTAAATAGTAAGACTTGTACCTAGAAAAATCATAGTTATCTCCGAAAGATACATTGGGGTTCCTCTTCTTCCCAACCTGTGGATTAAATAGTAAGACTTGTATCTAGAAACGACATTGTTACCTCCGAAAAATACATTTGGGATCTCTTTCCTCTACCCCAATTATGGGTTAAATAATAGGATTGTATATGGAAAAAATATTGTTATCTCCAAAAAGTTGTTAATGCAATAATCATTTATATATAATAATTGTTGGTAAAACATAAAAAATATAAATCAATGAAATCATTCTATGTCTTTGAAGACCTCGTGAATAAAAAGAATGCAAAATTTTTCAATTTACATCAAGGAATTTAATGCATTCGATAAATAACAGATGAATTCATTGTATAAAATTCTTTGCCTGTTTTGTCAATACGTATATCAAACAACGTCGAAATTTGGGTTCCATAATCGTAAGAGTTGCGAGTGTTTGTGCGTGTGTGTGTGTGCGTGTGTGCGCCCGCGTGCCTGCGTGTGTGTGCTTTTTTATAATGCGAGTGTAAATATGTGAGAAATCTTCTGTTCCTTGATTTATTTGATTATTATTTGGCGTCCTGGGTGAGACGATAAACTCCACCCAACAGCAACGCCTTTGATCAGGAGGTTTTGACCAGTTCGAAACTGCTGGTGTTTCCAGGTCTACCCTGAACCGGGGTGGTAACATCTGTTAGGGCCCCAGCTATGGGCAAGTAGTTATCGCCCAAATCCTATCTAAGCTTTTGGGCTTACATAAGCTATCATCAGAGATGATAAAGATTAGATAGAATTAAAAAACATGTATCAATATGGTGATTTTCTTTCGTCTTTCAATGATAATGTTATTAAACTTATCAGACAATATGAAAGGAATTTGCTTAAAATAAATAGACAAAACTTTCTATATTATTTAATGAAATATGCATTGTTTTTCGGCAATTATGACGCGCAATTTAACCAATGGTATACGAAAATGGCTAATATAAAATTTCCCATCACCTTCCATTCAACGTTAACGGTTGCTATGAGCGCGTTGTGAATTGGTTAAAAGTAAACACAATATTGAAAATCTGACTTGCTGTTGTAAAACATAAATCTTAAGAGACTGACACAAAAAAAAAAAAAATACCCTGTCCAGTGGCAAAAGCTTCTGGTGGCGCCAGGGGTGGCAGTACCGCATTAGCCACCGAAATTTTATTATCTCCCCTGGTCGGCGGCTGACGAGGTCAGGGTATCGCTCGTGCTTTCACTCGTAGAATGTAGAAAATTGTATAAATATTGGAGGAGAGAATAATATATACACTGACTTTGAAATTCTTTCTCTTTCTCTCTCTCTCCGCACACACACACACACACACACACACACACACACACACACACACACACATTAGGGAACTATATATAAATGTTTTTTATATATTAGAACAATTTTAGGAAAATCTATGAGGAAGTGGGTAAAAAATTCATCTTATGCATTCCGTCCTTCATGACTTTATCTGACTAAAGGGATGTTTACTTTAATGCGCATGTGTAAAAACTTTAGTCCAAAGAAAACCTAAGGGATGATATGCGTAACACGAACATTTTTTCCTCCTTCTCATAGATTATCCTAAACATATGCGTGTGTGTGTGTGTGTAAAAGATTTGAGAGAGAGAGAGAGAGAGAGAGAGAGGGGGGACGAAACAGAGTACATAAGCGAGGTAGCAGGTACATAACTGGGGTAAGGTGATGTCATTTATCTATCTATCTATCTATTTATCTATCTATCTATCTATCTATCTATCTATCTATATCGACTGTGTGTGTATGTGTGTATGTATATATATATATATATATATATATATATATATATATATATATATATATATATAGAGGAAAGGGGGATATAGAGAAAGAGAGAGAGGAAAAGAGAGAAGTGGGTAAAGGAGAGCGAGAGAGAAATAAGAAATAATGAAGATTGAGAGAAATGGATGGTAAAAGAGACAAAAAAATCTGAAGTAGAGTTAGATATAAACAAATCGACATAGGTATTTACAAAGGTGATTACCTGGATAAATACAAAAGAAAAACAAAATACTTAGCCAGAGAGAGAGAGAGAGAGAGAGAGAGAGAGTGTGTGTGTGTGTGTGTGTGTGTGTGAGAGAGAGAGAGAGAGAGAGAGAGAAGGAGAGAGAGAGAAGGAGAGAGATAGACAGCCACAGAGAGCAGGTACATAATTAGGGTAAGGCGATGTCATTGCCATAATCAAGAATTCTGTTGCGTTTTTTATGATATCAAGAATGATATCATTGTAGCTACAACTAAGTATTAGATTCTCTTGAATATTCGGTCTCATTTTGAGAAGTATTCCTCCACGGGTATAAAGAATCTTTTACCTATATTTGTTTTTACATTTTTAATAGATGATAGGCGAAAAATATGATGTCGTTATTTCTGTTTTTTTTTTTTATTATATGTAACTGTAAACTTGTTGAAGAATCAATTTCTTTTGGTGTTATTTTACAATCGTTGTTGGCCTTCAATGAAGATATCTTCGTTTAAGGAATTGTTGGATAATCTGAGTGGACCTTATTTATACTTTCTGGGAGAGAGCGTGTTATTTGGTGTGAGGAGAGAGTCTGAATAAAGCCAGCACGTCCAACCCCTCGGTCACGATGACTTGCACAACATTTAAAGGCTCTCCAAAGATTTACCCCCAATTTCACTCACAAAGCTTTGGTCAACCCGTGGCATGGTTTTTCAGCCACTTTCCAAAGGCGTCGCACGCTGGGAGTGCTTCAACCCAGGCCAAAAAATAGACCACGAAGAGAAAGCGAACGTTCTAAACACTCGGCCACGTGCCGTGCCCAATATATATATATATATATATATATATATATATATATATATATATATATACTTGAAACCAATGCATGGAATAATAATGTCAACAACACAAAATGTACTAGAACAAAATGTATTGAAACAAGAAAGTGTACACAATATTTACATATAGTCTTTTGTATATTCTTGGGAAGACCGTTCCTGGAGAATGTATTGACTTAGTCGCAGTCGGGCAGAGTCTCTGGATTGAATCTCTTGATTCCTACCCTCGTCTCCCTATGCAAATTAGGTGGATCCTACCACAACAATATATATGTCAAGAATTCAAAACCTGCGTAGCGTTGTTTGGCACGTAGTGCACCAGGTCTCTGTATTCGGCCCTTCAAAAGGTGTGGATGGTCCTGCACAAAACCTTCACCATTATAATCAACTCAAATCTCATGTGCTGTTGTCGGGCTGTCGGTTTCCTAGGAACTGATCTGCTTGACCCTCATACGTCGAATTCGACGGGAGAGTCGAGTGGACACAGGGATCAACACTTAGTGAGGGAAGTCTGTTTCAGACCTGAATGCAATCTTGATCGCCTAAAGATATCCCTCAAGCATGAATCAGACTGACATCACTCGGTATTAACGCTCTATCGTGGTAATTAGCAATTTTACTTCTAATTATATCATACCTTGTGTGTGTGTGTGTGTGGAGAGTGAAAGAGAGCGAGAGAAAGACAGAATAAAGGAAAATGATGATGAAAGCTTTCATGATGGCAAAGAAAATGTTCTCTTTCTAGATAAAGAAAACTGAGATAGATAGATAGATAGATAGATAGATAGATAGATGAAAAGACTGAACATAGATAGATAGATAGATAGATAGAGGCTGAGATAGATAGATACATAGATATGAACAGACTATAGATAGATAGATAGATAGATAGATAGATAGATAGATAGATAGATGAGAAGACGGGAGATAGATATATAGATAGATAGATAGATATGTACAGGCTGAGATAGATATGAACAGACTGAGATAGATAGATAGATAGATAGATAGATAGATAGATAGATAGATAGATATAAATAAACAGAGATAAATAGATTGATATGAACAAATTGAGACAGATAGGCAGATCTATATGAAGAGAATCGAATGGGATAGATTATATCCTGGGATAAAATAATATTTTCTCTATATCTACGTCTCTCTTTTTTTCTTTCATATTCTCCAAATGCGTGTGTCTTCGTGCATCTGTGCAACTCTGACATGCACTTAGACGCCAAAAGCAGAGAAGGATCGTGTTTATGAATATAATTAATAAATAAGTTTTTGTTCTCTTTTTTATTTTTGTAAATCGAAGTTTGCTTTTTATGAAATCGTTTAACGGCCTTCATTCTGTCAATGACAAAACCTATGCATGTGCGTGCACACAACTTACAAAACACTCCTTTTCTTCACAAGACAAAAATAACAATGCAAACAAGATTTACTTTCCTTTCGTCGGGATCACCTCATGTAAGGCACTAAAGCCACTCAGACACAGGGTGTTACAGGGTGTGGAAGAATTAGAAACGCAAACAAAAATGAGTGGAAAGAGGAAAATGTTGTGACCTGTTCAGGGGCCAGAAAGAAAGACACAGAAGACGGAAGGTAGGGTTGAACAAGTGTATTGAAAATATAGATATATACAAAACAAGAGTTTTAGTAATAAGCAGATAGAGGTGTACGTCCGAACGGTAGGGGTGAGGTAGATTAGCACGGCGTCTCTGCTACCCTACGACTCTACGCTAGGTTTGGGTTAGTTTATTTTGTTTTACTGTATATCAAACTCAATGGGTTATTTAATGCCGACAACATTTTTAGGATAGATTCGTATGAATAGAATATGTATTCTTTGGTTTAGATTGGTTTGGTTTAATTTGTTTTACAGTATATCAACCTCAATGGGTTATTTAATGCCGACATCATTTTTAGGTTAGATTCGTATGATTAGAATTTGCTTTACATTGGTTTGGTTTATTTTGTTTTACGGCATATCAACCTCAATGGGTTATTTAGTGCTGAGAAAAATATTTATTGCTGGTAATATTTTATTTTGTCCAAATGTATTTCTGGTAATATATTTCCTTCAAAATTGTATTGCTAGTCACAATTTCTCCAAAAAGTATTGCTGGTAATCGTTAAGTATTTGCCCATAGCTGGGACCCTAACAGGTAATACCTCCCCTGGTCAGGGTGGACCTGGCAATTTCAGCAATTAAGTGGTGGTTCCACGCTACTCAAAACCTCCTGATTAGACGCGTTGGTGCTGGACGTAGTTTAACGTCTTACCCAATACGCACTTTACCCCAGGAAATCTCGCAGTTAGTATTTATGAGAGGAGTCGAGCTGCCAGATCAGGACTAATAATATTGCTAACTCTTCTTTGGAACTTATCAAGGAGCTCAAGGTAAACAGCAGGGTCACCGGATCATGTGTGGCAGCAATATTCTAAGCATGGTCGAATGGTAGACTTATAGATATGTAAGATAGATGCTGGAGAGAAAAATTGTCTAGTACGACACAGTGAACCGACCTTCTTAGCAGCTGGCCTAGCAATTTTTTATTTTTTAGTTCAATTTTTTATTTTTTAGTTCAATTTTTTATTTCTTATTTTTTAATTTTTCAATTTTTAATTTTTTGTATTTCCTGTCAGCTGAGGACGTTAGCCCGAAAAGGCGAAACGATTCATTTTCCTGAAGGAAATCAGTGATATCTGAGTGTTTATCTTGATGCATTTATGTCGAAAAAACACTTTTCTTGAATAAATCCTCCGTCAATTGTATATTTTGTACATCTTGCAGAATTCATAAACTTCCTTTTACAATATTTACATTATTCGGACTGTTGTCCTCATCTTTACTGTCACATTCACGAAGTTTCGGTCGTTGTAGGTTGGAATTTCGAACCGAACCTTTATTTCGTCTTCCTAGGTAGAATGTTCTAGTTCCACATGACATGCCTTTTCTGGATATCTCACTTTCAGTTATCTCCTTTAGTTACTCTCAAAGTTTTTGTTCACCTCTGCTGTGGCCAGGTATTGAACTCACAATTCTTTATGTCAAGTCCCTTTTGGATTATTTCAACCAACGCTTTTATCAACTGCGCCATTTATCAATGGTGGTATTTTAGGGACTTATAAAACTAATGTCTCAGTAAACTTATAAACTTATAGGGCCTTATAAACTTATAACGACTTATAAACCTAAAGTCTCAGTAAACTTATAAACCTATAAGGACTTATAAACATATAGGGACTTACAAATCTAATATCTCAGTAAACGTATAAACTTATAGAGACTTATGAACTTTTAGGGAATTATAAACATAATGTCTCAGTAAACGTATAATCTTATAGGGACTTATAAAAATATACTGACTTATAGACATAATGTCCCAGTTAACTTATAAACTTATAGGTAGTATATACTTTTATGGACTTATAAACTTAAAGGAGCTTATAAACTTAAAGGAGCTTATAAACTTAATGTCTCATTAAACGTATAAAAGTATAGGGATTTGTAAACATGTAGGTACTTATAAACCTAATGTCTCAATAAATTAATAAACTTATATGGACTTATAAAGTTATAGGGACTGATAAACCTAATGTTTCAGTAGACTTAAAAACGTATAGGGACTTATAAACTTATAGGAGCTTATAAACCTATGACTTATAAACTTATAGGGACTTATAAACTTATAAGGTCTTATAGACCTAATATCTCAGTGAACTTATAAACTTATAGGGATTTATAAAATTATAGTAAGCATTTCAAATGTATTAAGAATAACTGAAAGGAATGAAAATGGCCAAAAAGATCAAGATTCGAAGAATTGCATCAAACTTTAGGATATGTATGAAAAGCATTTCAAATGAAGAATTCCTTCAGTCATCAAGAATAACTGATGGAATAAATGAAGATTTCCTTCAGTTATTAAAAATAACGGAAAGGAATGAAAATGGCCCCAAAAGATGAAGATTTGAAGAATTGCATCAAACCTTTGGCTATCCATGGGAACCATTACAAATTGGTTAAAAATGAAACCAAATAATCAGGTTAATTTGAAGTGAATTAAAGAAAAGAAGCATTGAATCATCAATATGAAACTGATGCAATTTTGTATGATAACTTGGGGAATAGAAAATATATATCATTTTGCACACTCATCCACATTTAAAAAAAATGATATCAATAAAGTTCTCTCAGTTGATTAAAAGAGAGTAGTTTCTTTTTCGGAGGCATGGAAATTAACAAGCCATTTCTTGCCCCAGTTAACAACAAACTATAGTCATTTTTGTTCCACTTATAAAGTCATGTCGTCCAGTATGTTCTAAAAGATTCTATAATCAGAACTAAGTCGAAGGACTTCAAAGAATTGCTAAGTTCTTTAAATGGAATTTTTTTTACGAAAGAAATTGACAACTTGCTAATAAATTTGTCGAATCAGAATGCAAACATTCAAGTCCTGTGTTCTTGAATAATTTCAACCCTTCTGTCTGAGCCCCTGTGTCAAAATTTGCAAATAATTGGTATGTAAAGTTTCACGGTAGATATAAGAAGTTACAATTGTTTACCCACCGTTCAACCGGTAGCTGGGCATTACGTCATTTTTCTCTACCACCAGTGAAGTGAGCAGAGAAAAATGGTTAAGGGTTAACTCAGTATAAAAGTTTAGGCTCTGACCTCTTCAACATTTTTCTATAGCTAGCCCATTGACTCCCCAGCCGATTCAAATTTCGGTAAACACCAGAGAAAAAGAAGTTTTCAGCTAAATTTTCACAAAATTATTTTCTCTGTTGGTATTATTTCGTAAGTCGCCATTATTCGATATGGCATTTTTGAATTCACAGTATATGAAATAGTTTTAACTGAAACTTAGAAAATTTTCGAGAACTGTTTACGATTTTAGGTCTTACGGGTGTTACAGGCAGCGACAGAAAGAAGAAGCCATTTTGGTTTGAAAAATGAATGACAATTTCGACATTGTGTGTCGTCTCCTCGGGAAGGGACAATAACTCGACAACATATTTGATATTTAATCGTTTCAAAAAGAAAGAAATACGATCGAAAAAGAATGCTTCGTAATCAAGACAAAGCATTGGAAAACGGAAATGAGAGAGAAGCCATTATTTGAGTTGAAACTCTTCGTGTGTTCTGTCTGTTTGTCTGGCGAACAGGAGTGGTTCAATGGTTAACTTCCGGTGCAGGTTCAAGAGTGTAACAACGAGGAAATCACAGTGCAATAATGAACAGATATAATGGCAGTTGGAGAATGATTAGCGAACGTTCCGCCGAGGTAGGGCGACATTCCATGATGGCTGGAGGGCGGAAATTAAGCGACGTTGGACGATTATTTCTATGCTGTTTGGACATTTTGGTGAATTGATTGGACACCTGTTTGAAAACGAAGCTAAAAAGCAATGCGCACATAGAATTAACCCTTTGTTGAATATGGAAAAGATAATTTAGTTTCAGAAGAATAAGGTAAGGATAATTAGAGGAGAGAGAAAAAAATTGAATGAATGAAGAAGTAAAAAAGTATGAACATTTGTGCAAAAGAATTAGTGAAAGGCAACGATAAAGAAAGAGGAAACACATGAAAGAACTAAAAATAATGAATGAAAGAAGAAAAAGAAGTAATATGAAAGAAAAGGAGAAGGAGAAACAGGAAATAGGAAAAAGAATGAAAGAAAAAATGAAGGAAGACGGTTGGAAGAAAAAGGGAGAAAGAGCAGACGAAAAAGAAATAGAAATAAAGGAAGCACTATGAAAGAAAAATGGAAGGAAAGAAAAAGAAAAAATAATAAAGAAATATAAAGAAATATTCGGTTTTAAGAAAGAAAGAAAGAAAGAAAGAAAAGGAAAAAAGAAAGAAACAAACAAAAATTGGTTATAGAAAAAAAGAGATAAAAAGAATAAATAATTACTAAGAAAGAAAGAAAGAAAAGAAGAAAAAAGGAAGAAAGTGAAAAAGAAAAAAGAAAGAAAAATTGGCCATAGGAAGAGGTGATAAAAAGAATAAATAATTATTAAGAAAGAAAGAAAGAAAGAAAGAAAGAAAGAAAGAAAGAAAGGAAGGAAGGAAGGGAGGAAGGAAGGAAGGAAGGAAGGAAGGGAGGAAGGAAGGAAAAAAGAAAGAAAGGGAAAAAAGGAACAGAGAAAGAAAGAGAAAAAGAAAGAAAGAAAAAAAGAAAGAAAAGGAGATAAAAAGAACAAATAATTACTAAGAAAGAAAGAAAGAAAGGAAGGAAGGAAGGAAGGAAGAAAGAAAGAAAGAACAACAAAGAAAGATATTGAAAGAATGAAGATAGAGAAAATCGTGAAATAAAAATAGAAAGAAAAAGAATGAATGAAAGACGAAGGAAGAATTATGAAAGAAAATACGCCAGAGAAAAAGAAGATACACAATATATAAGAAAGAAAGAAACATGAAGAAAACGGAGAAAAATACTTAAGAAAAGAAAAGAAAAAAAGGAAAAGAAAAGGAATGTCGAATAAAACGCAGTAAAAATCAAATCTATTTTGCTATGTTATCACTTGGAGGGATTCTTTTTTTTTTTAAAGAGGAAAAATGAAAGGAAAAAGGGGATAAAATATGCCAGGAAAGAACAAATACAAAAAAAACAAAAAAAAAATAGCGTTGTTCTTTTTTCTTTTCTTGCTTCTTTCTTCGTGTGTTTGTCAAATGGCGGGAAATGCTTAACGTCCATTGTGCTATACTGCCAATGCAAACATATGATTAAATTGAATAAAAAATATCAAGCGATATTACTGAAACTTTTTCAACGTCTTGAATAAGCAACAAAGCAATTAGTTTCATTTCTTTAAATGAAAGGTCTTGTAAATAGCTAACTAAAGGACTAAGAAAAAAGCCGAATTCTAATGACACACAATACTCGGATCAAGATGTCCGTAAGCTCATGAGTAGTCATTAACTATATAGTTAATAATGAAAATTACACTACATACTCGTAAATCTATGTGATTAATAACACCAACAAATTATGTGTATTAACGAAGAAATATATTCAAAAATAAATAATTGTGTAAAATAAATGTATTTATACGATTAATCTGAGGACATGCTGAACTATATATATATATATATATATATATATATATATATATATATATAGGGAGTAAAGCGAATGTATAAACAGTCAGTACTACTGCTGAAAATGCAATACTCTCTAACCCGATTGAGTTCTCTTAGTTGACCGGTGTGTTTATGAAAAATTAATACACAAAAATCTGCTTTTTTCTCTACCGAGTGTCGATGGCCTAAAGGTTAGACTTTCCGACTAGTAACAAATCGGCTTTTTCGACCCCGCCCTTCTGCGACCGGACATCTGGTACGCTGAAACAGATAATATATATATATATATATATATATATATATATATATATATATTAATTATGCAATGTACATATCTTGCCCAACTTGGAGTTTCATGCCGAAGCAATTTTAAATTGCTGGAATTTAAATATATATATATGTTGGGTCTACACTGGTTTTTTTTTTTAATATTTCTGGATCGCACGGGATATATTATTGTTGGGGTGGAATATTGGAGTTAAACAATTTAAAAAAAAATCGTAGTTTAATTTTGAATTTGAATTTAAGCTCAGATTAACTTTTAAGATTGAAAATAAGGTTGGAAATAAGAAATACAAATTTGAATTACGGAGAGGCTGGATTTGAAAACGTAAATAAACAAAGAAGGGGGCGTTAGGAAATCAAGGGAAGCAACTCTAATTTTTTTCAAAAATCAAGAGAGTAATAATTATAATATTAACCTAACTAGACTAATGATATCAGTAACAAATATACCATGATAAAATAAAAAAAAATATACAGTCATATACAATAAAATAATATAGAATAAAATAAAATAATATACTATAAATATATACAATAAAATAAGATAAAATAAGGCATAATAAAATACTATTAATAATAATAATAATAATAATAATAATAATAATAATAATAGTACTTATCAATGGAAAGAAAATAATATTAAAAATGGTAAACAAAATAAAATAAGAAATATGCATATATATATATATATATATATATATATATATATATATATATATATCAATTTCGTTTGAGGATCAAACAGAGCTTTTGGCTCTTATATCTGAAACATGAGGACTCTTATGAAGCAGAAGGAATCATATTTTCAAAAAAAATAATTATAATTATAATTTAGGCTCTACTTTTGCATTGAGCACTGTTTTTTTTTTTTAAATAAAAACAATTTTTTTTTATATATTTGTACACACACATACACAAAGACACATATATATATATATATATATATATATATATATATATATATATATATATATATATATATATATATATATATCAGGTCATCCCATAAGTTCTGTCCGAATTTTGAATAAAGAAAACAAGTAACCAAATGTTACATTTAATTACAGATTCAATCAACAATATATTTTCCCTGATTATCTATGACTTCCTTCCATCTATTAACAAGCTTACTAATTCCATTACTGTAAAATTCTTTTGGCTTTGATTCGAAGAACTCACAAATATCAGTTTTAACCTCTTCCTGTGTTACAAAAGCTGTTTCTTCCAAATGATTCTGTAAGCTATGAAACAAATAGTAGTCTGAAGGAGCAAGATCGGGAGAATAAGGTGGATGAGGAATTTTCTCCCAACCAAGTTCTTCGATCTTTTGTGACGTGATTCTTGTGTGTGGGGTCGCGCATTGTCCTGATGAAACATCACCTCTTTTCGATTCACTAGAGCAGGTCTTTTTTTCCTCAAACCTTGGTTCAAACGCTCTAATTGCTGACAGTATATTTGAGCATTAATTGTTACATTAGGTGGTAAGAATTCAAAGTGGATTATTCCTTGGCGATCCCACCAGATTGAAAGAAGAACCTTTTGCCCATGAAGTTCCCTTCTCGGCTGTGGCTGGGGTCCTTCCTCTTTACCAAGCCACTGTCTAAGACGCTTAACATTTCGATAAAAGATCCATTTTTCGTCGCCAGTCGCAAGGCTATCCAAAAAAGGTGAAACAAGTTAGCGAGAATGGAGAGAAGAGCAGATGTCAACTCGGGATTTGAGGTTGTTTTCAGACAATTCATGAGGCACCCATTTTCCAAGTTTAGGAACTTTTCCAAGTTGTTGAAGATGATGATGAACAGTTGTATGGTTTGAAATGAGAACCACTGCCAATTCCTCAACTGATAAAGCAGGATTTTCTTCAAGGGCTGCTTCAAGAAGCTTTTCATCAAACTCAACTGGACATCCAGTTCGATCTTCATCTTCAAGGGTGAAATCTCCACCTCTGAATTTTGCAAACCATCTTCTGCAAAACTTGATTGAATGTTTCCATAAACTGAGTGAATGTTTCTGCTGAGTTTGAGTTTTCTTTGAACTCATAAAGCATTATGTGCCTCAAATGATTCTTGGGTACTTCCATGTTAGCAGGGTTTTAATCAAACCAAATTTAATTTTATTGTTCTCTGAAATAAAATTTGATCAGTGTAAATGCATCTAAACATAAAAATAATGTTCAGCTCCATTAGACATTATAAAATACTCTTTAAATTTCGTTCATTTTAACAAAAAGTTAAAATTCGGACAGAACTTATGGGATGACCTGTTATATGGATGTATAAATGTGCAAATAAACACGTAAAAATGTTGGTTTTGAATTTTAAGTTCGGCGCAGAACAGCATTTAATTTCTAATTTAGTCAGTCGCTGATATTGCTTAATATATATATTAAGAAATGGACAAAGTCCGACAATTTATTTTATTAAAGACATTTTTATTTTTAACGTTATTTTTTATAGATACAAGTAAATGCTCCGTTTATAATAAACAGTATTAAATAACATTTACCGGCCTGAATGTCCGAGAAATTTTCATAGAAAATATTTCACTTTGACAGGATTGGAACCTGCATCCTATACGGAAATCATTTACGAAACGTGCCTTACCAATCGAATACAAAAGGGCGTTCGGTAAAAGGTCAATTTTAGCTTATAAACTTCAATCTTCCATGAATCTCGTACATTCATAACTGCTCTGGCGTATCAAATGTAAATGAAATAC